GCATTCCTGGATCTGGCTGAGAAGCTCACCCGCCAACTCCCCGACGCCTCAGAAAGCAGGGGACAAGCCAGCCAACCCAGAGGCTGGACGGTTTTTCCAGATCTGCCTTGTGGCCCACAGGCTGCTGAGCTACCCAAAGGTTCCGTCTGCAGCCCGTGTCGCCTGTCCCCTGGACACTCCAGGGGAGCTGGCACGTGGGCAGAGAGGCTGAGAAGCCTGCCTGGGGCCTGCGTCCATGTGCCGGGAAGCACAGACTCTCGACACATTGTCTGGTCCTGTCCTGACCACCACCCACTTTTCAGGGTGGGGACCTTGCCCAAGGGGCGGCAAGTCGCCCAAGGTGACCGAGTGGGCCTCTCCCCCAGCTGCTCCTCTAGGGCCTCAGGGAGGCCAGCTTCTCAGGGAGGGTCCGCACTGCCACCAACCCTGCTGAGCGCGAACTGAGCTGAGGCCAGGCTGGCTACGTGCTGCTGAGGAGATGGACAGCAGGCATGACCAGCATGTCCATGACCAGCACATGACCCAGACCGTCACAGACCCTCAGAGCTGACACAACAAAGGAACGGCTGCCCCAGAGGGAAATAAGAGAGCTGGTGGCCAGGGAAGGATTGTGTCCCGAGACCCAGGGAGGAACCAGGACCTAGGGGTGGGGGTGGGGTGGGTGCCCACAGCCCCCAGGGCCTTATCGAAATCGGGAGAGGATCCCTAATTCTGCCCGGTGCCCCACGAAGCCCGTGGCAGCCTCGGGCATGGGCTGCAACCTATTACCAGGTGCATGGTGTACGTCTTGATGGTGTCCTGCTGGGAGTCCCACTCAGTGGCCACAGCGACGGCCAGGGCCTCGCTGGGGACGGTGAAGAGCTTGGCTTGGGGAGTCCTCAGCTTCCTGTGGTCCAGATTGATCTCAAAGCCAGCTTGAAAGAAGAGATGAAAACCTCTCAGGGGTTAATAAGCAGAATCGAGTGACCACCCCTATATTTAGCTACTTGATTCGGTGCAAAGACGCCCCGAGATCCTTCTGGGGGGTGGGTGGCTTACAGAAACACACCCGACGAGAGCGCCAAGGTCAAGCTCACCGAGGAGCTGGCTGGAGGTGAAAAGTGTTTCCACCCATTCACAGAAACAAAAGAGGCAGTGAAAATTCCAGACACTCACCTTCACCCTGTGTGATGCTGACATTCTGATAGAACCTCTTCCTTTCTGCTGGGAAGATTTTTCAAAAGCGCAGTTTGAAATGCTGTGGAGACTCAGGAGGAGCTTGTACCACCACTGCTGATGCTGACTGACCACCCCGACTTCCACACAGCACCCAAGGGTCTCCCCACTCCACATGGATCAGTGGCTTCTGAGTAACAGGCTAGTGGCAGCAGCCCCGCCGACACGAGACTGGAGGCCCCTGCGTCTGTCTGGAGGCCTCGGTCGGGGTGCCCAGACGATGTGCAGCATGTTCTCCAGTGCCTGGCTGGGCAGCAAGTCCAAAGCCAGACCAGGCAGAAAGTGGGGGCTGGGAGGATCTGAAGGCTGACTCATCCCTGGGGGAGGGACCCACCCTGCCGGTACGACAGAGCATTCTACCACACGCCCCACACGGCCATGGGAAATGGGCCCAAGAGACCTGGGGGGCCAAAGAAAGGACGGAGCAGAGACTGACGGCACAGGCTGAACCTCCCAAAGCTGCCGGGACAGCGATGTCTCCCACGAGGGGGTCTTCTTACCTCTGCCCCACTCCTCTATCCTGGCCAATTCCACCTCTGTGCTGATCAGAGATGCCGGCCAGGCGGGTTCAGGGCTGCGCTGAGGGGAGGGCAAACTCCAGGCTTGGAGCAAACTTGTTGATGACTAACCCCCTTCCAGGGCAGGACTCAAAGCTACCCTGCCCTTGAGGTGCATACTGTCTCGTGGGTAGACAGACACTAAACCCAAGAAGACTCATCTCGTCTGGGCCAAAGGAAGCCCTCCAAGCAGCCAGATGGCACCTGAGAGCTGCAGAAGTGCAGGGCAGGCCCAACCGTGCTGATGGCTTTCAGAGGAAGGGAGGGTGTATGAGTGTGTGTGTGTGCGAGTGTGTGTGTGTGTGTGTGCACGCAGGCCCAACCGTGCTGATGGCTTTCAGAGGGAGGGAGGGTGTGTGTGTGTGTGTGTGTGTGTGTGTGTGTGTGCATGCAGGCCCAACCGTGCTGATGGCTTTCAGAGGGAGGGAGTGTGTGTGTGTGTGTGTGCGCGAGTGTGCGAGTGTGTGCGCGCAGGCCCAACCGTGCTGATGGCTTTCAGAGGGAGGGAGGGGGTGTGTGTGTGTGCGCGCGCTTGTGTGTGCATGTGTGCGTGTAGCTCCCAGCAGAAGGAACAGCTTACAGGACGGTCAGGAGAGCAGGCTTTGGAACTAGAAAGGCGGTGAGCAGGGCAGGCGTGAAGCACCCGACCGACGATGGCTGCAGAGGCCCAGATCTGGGGAGGAGGCCGGCAGGTCCCAGCGAGGAGGGTGGGGGAGCCAAGTAGGGGGTTCACACAGGCAACGAGACCGGGATCTGGAAAATTCACTTGGCGGGATCCATGCTCCCCAACAATGTCAAAAGATGGAGGTTTTGGGTCTCATAAGACAAGTCTTGGGTCTCATAAGACAAGTTATGAGACTAGGAGCCTGTGAAGCACCCATATCCTCAGGGATAGAGAACGAGCTACCCGCAATGGAAACCCCATCCTTACAGGCAAGAGACAGGCTAGTCTTGTAGGATCACACAGAACGGGTCTATCTTGAGTATGAATCACTCCCTTTACAGAACGTCTATTTCTGTGGCAAAACCACACTTGGTGCCTTTTAAGTGACAATTTTAAGGACTATGTAGATACAAAGAAATGGGTATGCGAAAAAGCATTGAATTTTAAAAGCTGCCACAAGAAACCAGGCGATATAAGCGGAGAACATTAACAAGCTGCTCCTGTGAAGAGTGCTGAACTGGAAATTAATGTCCACTGGCTCCCTTTCTCCTGCGAGGCTGCTTCAATACGTATAAAGAAACAGGCGATTTTCTGTGTCACTTCCCCGGACACTCCTCCTCCTGTCCCAGGCTTCACAGACCAATGAGTGATCCTTCTACCAAGCTCAATTTCCGGGCTGGCCTTTGCTTTGGAAAGACTCAAAGCCTCAGAACTGCAACCACCACGGTGCACCAGGAACAGAGGACGTGCCTTCCCAGAGCTGCCTCAATACCTTTCTCTTTCTAAACAGTGCCACCTGGCGGGCCTTAATCCTTAAAGCTAGATTCTGACTCGGGGTCCCTCTACCCATAATCCTGGGGCGGCTGTGACAGAGCGTTTTCAAGTATCAGAATTCTTCGGGCCAGCTATAAAAAGAACTCTTGCAATTCAAAAATAAAAAGACAAATAACCCAACTAAGAAATGGTCAAAGGATCTGAACAGACACTTCTCCAAAGAAAATGTACAAGTGTCCAAAAAGCACACAAAAAGATGTTTGACATCATTCATCATCAGGGGAATGCAAAGCAAAGCCCCAAGACACCACTTCCCACCCACTAGGATGGCTATGACCAATAAGACAGATGTTGGGAAGGAGGTTGAGAAATTGGGACCTTCATACATTGCTGGTGGAAATGCCACCTTGGAAAGCAGGGTGGCAGTTCCTCAGAAAGTTAGGTACCATTTGATACAGCAATTCTACTCTTAGATACCTGCCTGTGAAAAATGAAAACATATGCCCACACAAAAACCTGTACTCAAGTGTTTACAGAGGCATTCAGAACAGCCAAAAGATGGAAACCACCCAAATGTTCACCAATGGATGACTGCATAAATAAGACATGGTGTGTCCCTACAATGGAATATTATCAGCTGTGAAAAATAGAGTACTGACACATGTTACCCCTGGGATAAACCTTGAAAACATGCTGAATGAAAAAAGGCCAGTCAAAAAAAACCACATTCCATTTATATGAAATATCCAAACTAGAGAAATCTACAGATGCAGAGAATAAAGTAGTGGCTGTCTAGGCCTGGAGGGATTGAGGGGGTACTCAGAGAGTGGTAGCTGAAGGGGACAGGGATTCTTTGTGGTGATAAGAATGTTCTAGAATCGATGGCTGCACAATCCCTTTGAGTATACTAAAAACCACTGAATTGTACACTTTAAGTGAGTGAACTGTAAGTGCATCATATCTCAATAAAGCTGTTAAAAAATTCTTCAACACACCTTTTTTTCCAAATTGCTGTAGCATCCAGAGCAGGGGTTGGCAAACTTCTGCTAAGAGCCAAATAAAGTATTTCAGGCTTTGCAGGCCATCCAGTCTCTGGTGCAACCAGCCAACTCTGCACTGTGGTGAAAGCAGCCCTAGATGCATGTCAGTAAATGAGCAGGGCTGGGTTCCAATAAACCTTTATTAACAAAAACAGGTGGCAGGCCGGCCTCCTTATCTACAGCATCTGCCTCAACCCAGCACAAGCAGCCTCTGAAGACGGGGCAGAGACCAAGAAGCTAAACCACTTGTGCAGGCGACAGACAACTTGTAAACAGAGGAGTGCCCCAGCCGTGCCCTCACCGGTGTCATCCTCAGCTGGGCAGGCAGCCTCTCTGAACACCTTTCCCTCTAAGCGGCTGACGGCTCCAACGGCTGGTACGGGGCTGGACGCCACACAGCCGGGTGACCCTCTCCTAACCCCCTCGCGCCCTCTGACAACCTTCAATGGCACAGCTGTCCCTAAGAAGCCAAGTTCAATCTACTTGCCTCTTCAAGTCTTAACGGAGAAGCCACCACTTGGGTTTAACCTTCCACTCCTCCAAAGACGCACAGACGCTCAGGTCAGAAAAGCAGAGTGCTCAGGTCGGTGCGAGACGCTCCGTCCCACTGCTCGGCACTCTTTCACCCACTCTTATCTTCCTCCACGTTTGACTACCTACCAAGAGCCGAAGCTAGCAAGTCTGCAGTAGAAAGGAACGGGGCAGGTCAGTGCCACCGTGATGGCAAGTGGCACCCACCAACTGGATGAACCCTCTGATTGAGGAAACTTAAGGGAATTCCCGAACATGTCCCCTTCGCTCGTGTGCTGCCTCCCTGGGGTGCTGTAAAGGAAAAACAATGCTCCCGTTTTCCTTTACACACTCACACAGATACTATGCTCCAAACGTGGAGTGGGGGCGGTTAGGGTTAGGGATCCCTACCGATCGGATACCACTGATCAACTCTGAGACACCAGCTGAGTGTCCTACAATTGACTCAATTCTGACACTACCCGCCTGGAGACAGCGCTGGATCCCATAGATTAAGGACTCAGTCCTACAAGAGTTATGTCCTGCATGATAGCTTGCTAGAGCAGCTGACGGAACTTAGGAGAACAGTTTACTTACTAGAGTACCAGTTTACTACAAAAGGATACAACTCAGGGACAGGCAAATGGAGGAGATGCGTGGGGCAAGGTATGGAGGAAAGGGTGCCGAGTTTCCATGCTCTCTCTGGGCACCCTCCCTGCATCTCCACGTGTTCCCCAACCTTGAAGCTCTCCAAACCCCATAGTTCAGGGGTTTTATGGAGGCTTCATTACACAGGCATGACTAAATCACAGGTAATTAGTGATCAACCTCCATTCAATCTCCATTCCCTCTCCCTTTCCCAGAGGTCAGGAGGTGGGGCTGAAACTTCCAACCCTCTAATCAAGTGTGTTTGGTTCCCCTGGCAATCAGCCGCCATCCTTAGGGGCTTTCCGCAAGGAAAAAGTCACCTTGTTAACATACACTCAGGTGTGGTTGAAGAGGGCTTGTTATGAGTAATAAGACCCTCCTTTCACCTTTATCACTCGGGAGCTCTTTTAGGACAGAAGACAGACTGTTTTAACAAAAGATTCTCCCAGAGCTCTCATTACTTAGTAAGCTACAAGGGTTTTAGGAGACATATGCCAGTACAAGGAAATGACCAAATGTGTCCATTTCTTATCATAAATCACACGGTCACAGATGCCCTTCCTTCTTCCCCTTTACGGGCTCTTCATGGATCACCTCCAGGCCCTTCACCTGGGCCCTGACAGGTGCGATCTCTGCTCCCTGCTACATCCATTCCTCTTCCCCATTTGTATGGAACAGAGACAACCTAGCCCTTCAACTCAGAGGTAAATGATGTCCAAACGAAGCAGTCACATGCCTAAGATCACACAGCTCCTGGTTCAGCAGCATCAGACCCCAGGTATGTGCTTCTGCCACGATGCCAAGCTGCCTGTGGAGCTCTAGATTTCCTAAAGCAGGCAGCGTCACAGCGAACTCCCTCACCCGCTGCCACCTCTGGACGTGTCCCAGCCGCCCACGTTCCACCCTCCCTGCTCCTCCTTCTCGTTTCTCAAGACTCAGCTTAAACGTCCTTTCACCCAAGACCCTTTCTAGACCCTCAAAACCCCCAAGGTGGGAATAGGTGCTTCTCTGTACCTTCCTCACACAGGATATAGGCTATTGTTTAACCAAAGTGTTATAACCTTCTGCACTCGACGCTGAACATCACCTAGGTAGAGGGTACGTCTCTCTTGAAGACAACGGTGCCTCCCGCCCTCAGCACATCAACACTGAGTGGAAGTGGAAGGAGAGCTTTACTATCTTCACTCAAAGGAGTCACTCCCACTCTTACCCCTAAAACCTCTCCCCAGAAGCAACGAAAGAACTACTCTACCTTCTCCTAAGCCTCATCTGAGTTGGAAGGGGAGGAAGAGGCACGGGGTGTTAACTCCTTAGCAGATGGCAGGAGTCGTGGGAGGGCAGTAGGAGGAAGGGTCAGGACAGCTGCGAAGACAGCGGCCGGGATGGAAGACTGAAAGCCCGGGCTCCAGGTCCCTTCGGTGCCGGGTCGCGGGGACACAGAAAGCAGCCCGGCAGCCCGGCCTTTACCCCGCAAACCTCTCAGAGTTTGCTCTTCTCCCTTGGGGCAATCCCGACCCAGAACCCGAATGTCCTCGCCTGAAAACAAGGATGACTTCTGCTTTCCTAACGGAAGAAAGAAAAGCCACACGTGCTAAAGAAAACGACGCGCATGCGCCCTGGGGAGGTCCCTGCCCTTGCCGGGGCTTCCCTTCCGACCTGTGACCCTGTACGGCCGACCCCTCAGCCTGCTCCGCCCTGGCCTCCCTCACCTGCTGGGGGCGCGTAGGCCCGGGCGTGGGCCGGGGGTTTTGGCCCCGGCCCCTCGGAGGCGGTGAGGCCACCCCGGGGGCAGTTCAGGAGGTGGCGACCCCCGCCCCGCAGCCGGAGGCAGCTCCTCCACATCGCGCGGGGGCCTGGGAGGACGACCGCGCGAGACCTGAGCGCGGGAAACACCGAGCGGAGGGACCGCACGCTGCGCGCTCGGGCCGCACGAAGCTTCTCACCGGCGACCGGAGCTTCTCACCGGCCGCCGGCGTCCTCAGCCTCCCTGGGCGCCGCCATGTTGCGCACGACACTCGCGGCGCGCCGTCGCCGCGCGCCTCATCGCACGCCGCAGCCAATCAGTATCACAAACGCCCAGGCCCCGCCCCCGCGCCGCGCCTCGGGAAGAAGACTACAAGTCCCAGAGGGCCTCGGTGTCCGCCACGTGCTCTCTCCGCCCGCCAATAGGCAGAAGCGCCGCTCTAGCCTGCTCCCGCCCCCCGGCGCGCCGGAGCCAATCGGAAGGGGTGTGTGTGCGAGCGCAGGGGGGGAGGGGGCTCGCTTAGCACCCGGAGGCCCTGCTCTCAGGTCCCGGGGTCCCGGTGGCGGCCGGAGCGCTCGGTCCGCAGGCGGCCGGCGGGGGGACCCCTCCCGCCCCACGCGCGCGCCGGCCTTACCCCCGGCCACCCTCC